CCGAAGCCAGCAGCTCTAACACGGCCCACGATCTCCGAGAACTCGTCGGCTGTCAGCTTGCCCAAGCCTTTCGCAAGCACACGCTCCGTCAGCAAATTTTAGGGTTCACTACAGTTACCATCGGGCCAAAAAAAAGGAAGCTTAGAGTTTGGAGCTTGAGTTTGTAGCGTTATAAGGTTTAGGGTGTCAGCACTCTATGCAAACGCAAGCCAACTTGCAGGCTGTGCTTCTGTTCTAGGGGCACTGCGCTGAGCCATGCTGTCCGAGAGCGTTTCCATGACTCATGTGGCGGCTGCACTCGTTTTCCTGAACTTTCACTGGAGCATGACTCATGTGGATGTGCTGAAATTTTTGGGAAAGCTGGGCCAGTACGCACGGCAAAACCCAGGTGGCTCAGCACACGCTGGTAATGATGATGCACAGCGAGTTAATGCCGCCATGGAACAGCTGCGAGAGAACAGCTACGTCGAAACAAGCAAGCTGATGGTGCATGTGAACGCTATGTCGATGGTTATCATTCCGTGCATCTATGATCGCGGGAACGCGGCTTTTATGGTTGGTATCCTGCTAGCTGCCGCATCTGCATATGCTACGCATTTAGCAATAGCACATGGCAAAATCCGCTTGCGGGCCCAACAATTGAAAATATTTGTCGCCGCCTACTATGCGATTGGGGTTGTGTGCAGGCTCCGGCTTTGAACATATGAGGCTGATGGAAGTTGGCCAGCTTACTATGTTCGCTTGCTATTGTGACTCGACTGTACACGTACCCGGCCAAGCTGCTCTTGCTCTGGCAGAGATCGTTGGTTTTGCGGCCTCCAGCGGTTTGCAAAGTGTCTCAGTGGAAGTGGTGGCACATCCGCTGCTCAAAGCTCTCATCCTGATCTTCTGTTCGGTGGTCTTGGAAAGCACTATGAGGGAAGGAGTGGCCGCTCAGTTCCGAGGAGCAGATGCGGAGTCCATGGTCACCTCTTTTCGGACCATGCTGAAGGGCTTAAGTGATGCGGAGCTGTTGCTGGATGAGTCCTTGCAAATCACGGACGATGATCTGCTCCGTGGTTCCCTGGTGATGGAAGAGAGCCTCAAGGGCCAGGTCTTCAGTAACCTTCTACTCCCGGACACAGAGGAGCAGGCTCGGTTTCAGAAGTTCATCCACAGGCAAAGCCCGCCAGCCTCTCAGGCAAGAACGCCGGCGTGTTTGCGAATTTCCCTACGGACAAGCCAGGCTCAGCGTGTGGGCGCGGATCTTTTTCACGTTCGCATCCCGCACTTGCGTGGCTGCACAGATGCATTCCACCTTTTAGGCTTGAAGCTAGATGCTGATTCTAATTTTACAGACCTTGAAACGGATTCAGGGTCTTCCGGCTTCAGATCGCCCAACTCATGCCTGCAATCTAGTTCGGACCTCGCAGCAACAGTTCTGAGCTCGGATTTCTCAGAAGCGTCGTCGGGAGCCTACTTGGAGGCGCTCTGGACATTTTCAGAGGTGTGCATGAAGGTGGATGCAAGGGCGAATCCTCCCAAAGTCGTTTCTGTGCATTTCAACTACAGGCATCGCGGCAGGCAAAACCCAAGAGACCTGCACAACCAGCACTTGCCTGATCTCCGTATGTTCATCCGGCCAACCCAGTGGGCCAGGGTATATCGCACGGTGAGAGCATATGCATCGGCTTACACACCTTGCAGGTCCAACGGTGAAGTTGGTGAGGTATGGATCCGGTTGGGCCATCCCTCGCAATATCGGCTTGCTCGAAGAGCACGGATGCGAGGTGCTGACTCTGGGCATGTGTGGATTGAACTGAAAGATGTCTGCGTACCGGCGAGACTAGGCTCGGGGGAGATGATGTACATTGGCGAGGAGCCTGCTCAGCCGGCAGAGACGACTGCCCGGCCGTGATCAACAAGTCCGCAGAAGACTCAATCCATTTCAAGGGTGGGTCCGGCTTGAAGCTTTTTGGCTTAAGTTTAATTTAGGGTTAGGGGTTTAAGCTTGTTGGAGGCTTTGGGGGTGATAGGGCTTCTGTCCAGGGATGTAGAGGTCGAAGGTCTTGAAACCCTCAACCCTAAACCGTAATATTGTACAGGGTTTCTCTGGGTCGGCGGCAGAAAGATCAGACTACTCGGGCTTGTCTTCTGGACCCCTTCTGTCCTGAACTCGCCTTCGGGTAGTTCTCTAAATTAGGGCCCCTTTTTGGGTCCTCATAATTGCACCGTGCAAATTTAAACTGGGGACTTAAAAAGGGACCCAAATTTCGAAAACTACCCATATGGGTAACGCATGGCAACCCTAAGCCCTCCCTACAAAAGGGCCCTCTGTAGGATTCTGTGTGCAAGAGCTGTTTGCTCTCTCGGCGTAGCCCAGAACGGTCCAGCATAGAATTCCGTCACAGGGAGCTATCAATGAATCAAAACCCCAGCACAGA